GGGGAACAGAAGACCTCGCCCATCCAGCCAGGACAACAATAACCGGTTTAGATTCCTTTCAATACAGAAGGGATGCCTCATATTCTAGAAATCAACATCTAGACAAAATACGCAGCAAAGAAGGAATAAATGAGGTGAAGAATATTTCCTCCAAAGGTTTTCATGTAAAACGTCTCGTTCAGGTCATTAACGAGAAGTTTCTGCTGCAGGACTCCTGCAGATGAAGTCCAGCTCTTCGTCTACCTGTATGCACCACAGCTCCGTCACTTCTTTACAGAGACAAGCGTCCTCAGAAGGACTCTGTTCCAATCCGATGGTCAATTTCTCTAGAAGATGTTTTTTTTTTCTTACTCTTTGGTTTCTCCAACGGCTGCTGCGGCGGCGGCTCGCCATGCGGGTCAAGTCTCGGGCCAGACCGAACTCTGCCAGTTTTACCTCCCATGGAAACCTGTTGACCATGATGTTCCTCAGAGCTAGGTCACAGTGAACGATCTGCACACAAGATAAATATAGCCACAGTCTGACAAAGATCTAGAGCAGGGGAGTCAAACTCATTTCCAGAAAAGCAAACTTAAGCATCATCGATTTCAAAAGGTGTAGCTGCATAAATCAAAACTTTAGTTTCATTTCCAAGCAGAACGCAGCTTTCTGATAACTTTACTTCCATTTAGTGAGCAGCTTTAGCCACTTTAGAAGAACATATTCCTCTAGTTTATGACATGATGACTCCATATGGGATCTTTAGGGCTGGTGTTCTGTCAGACCAGCATACCCGGTCAGACCAGCATACCCAGAGTTAACACCAATTTATCCCTTGAGTTTTGTTCGAAAAAAACAATTTAATTACTCACTTTTTGGTGTTTTGTGAAGCGTGTGGCAATCTGACCTTAAATTGTTTTGTTTTTTTGTACATGACTAAAGGGAAACACGCCCGTTGAGGTAGTTTAAAGTTTATTTTTCGTACAAAACTAAAAACTAAATCGGACGTCTTGCTCATGGGTATTGACTATGGGTGTTCTAATCTGACAATTACAAACCTTCAGTTGGAGACACATGGTGGAGTCAGTCCTTAAAAAAAACTAAATATTCAGGTTCATATTAGCCTGTTGCTAACTTCATTAGCAGTAAAGAAGCCAAAGTAAAGAATGTTTTAACCTCTTACACCTTAAGGGGGTATAAATAAATTTCTGCCTGACAAAAACACACAAAAGTAA